GGGAAAGCCAACCGCAACACAGCTTTCCCGTCAGCCGTTCCCATTCCAGAACAACAGACCCTCGTGGCGTTCATGTATTAGGTATCTTCAGTCTTCTTGTATTGTAATTTTGAGGTATCTCAAACTTATGTTAAAGCTGCCATGCATTGTATTACTAAATTGTAACTATCAAATAGATAATATATTTAATACAGCCAATAAATAATACAAATGTATTCAAATTTGACTACAGGGTGGTTGTGTGGTTTTGTGGGTTTTGATCTTGCTCAGGAGCAGTCATTTGTGTACTACCTCATTTAGGTAAAGAAACACATTCAGTGTTGTTACTAAGGGTCTTAAACCCGTAGTCAAAAAGTTACTTGTGGGAGCCTTAGCACAGCACCATCCTCATCCTTTCCAAGAGCCCTGCAGCCACGCGGTGCCGGTTCTTGAATCCCTTCATGTGAGGCTGGGAGGCCATAGGGGCAGCCTGGGAGCTGGTGAGCTGTTCTCACTTGGGTTGTGAGAGTTGAAGTCACTGCTGAACATTGACGTGAAAGAATCGAGTTCCGTACCTTCAAGAGAAACCTTCTCCCTCCCGGTCAGCAGCATCAAGTTCACTTGTGGTGCAGGATTTTGCTCATCACTTTCCTGTATTTGTATGACATGGTGGAAGCCCCGATGTAGAAGCACGCGATGAGGCTGAAGTACTGTGTGAGGTCACTCGGGGTGACTTCACTCTGGCTGAAGAGGATTTAGCCAATATGGAAACTGAGCCAACCCAGCACAAAGGCCAAGACTGCAACAGCTGAAGAGGAAAAGAGCACACTCCAGTCATCCCTATGTTGTCCCTATTCAAACTATCTAAGCATTGAGACAGGAGCTTGTAAAGTTTAACCCAGCAAGGATGAGACCTCCTGCCTTGCCCAGTGGCTTTTGTGCTAATGTCAAGCAACAAGGACAAAATTAATTGGTTGTGATTAAAAGAGGGCTCTCTCCACCCGTGCGGTCCAGCAGAGAGAACGGAATCAAATCCAGCCTGCACTTCAGTTAATGCCTGCTGCCCACTTGGCCTGAGAATCTGAGTCAGCCCTGACATCCCACAATGGCTGTTAGAAGGGGAGGACCCCTTTAGGTGATGCAGGGGCAGAAAAGGGGAGCCAGCTGGCCCAGAAGCACTGAGGAAGAGGATGGGAAAACAGAGCATGCAGGAACAGACAGCAGATAGAGGTGGTACATCCTACTGATGGCATCTCCAAGTGGGGGTGCTGCCGCCTCCCTGCTGAGATGGATTGAGCAAGCACAAACAGGTCACTAAGCTTGAGGAATTTTGCAGGGGCAATTGTTTTAAGCTCTTTCCTTGCCACAACAGGGAGGTACCTGCTCTGCATGGAAGTTACAGCATTTCCCAGTTTCTTTAAATTGGATATTTAAGGGTCAGAAATGGGGGGGGACGACGACACACACAATGAAGAATGTGATCTCCAAACACCCAAAAGCCCCACCATGCAGTAAGATCCCCAGCCTGAATACTGTGTAGCCAGGGACCCAAATTAGGTGTAAATCCATTAATTTCAAATCCTTGCATTCCTGTGTGTTTTGTATCCATCACACCAGGCCAAGGGAAATCAGTGTCTGACAGCACCATGCTGGGTAGATACATGTTCACTGTTTTCCTCTTCTGGAAGTTTCCAGAGTTCCCAGACTCCCAAGGAAAACTGGATGATGGAAATTATAGTCACAGGCACCAGAATACAGAATAAAAATAATAGATACAAGGAATATTAGATTCACACACGCAGTATTTGCCAGTCAATCTTTTAAAAACTGTATTGGCCATTATAAACTAGTTTAAATACCATGCTGGTATTTATCCTTAGCTCCACTGTGTTTGAAAAGGGGCCATTTTCAGCATTCCCTTTCAAGTCCTGTGAATCCCACCAAGTGCATAGAGCCAGGTGATACTGATCCAGGGCTCTGGATCAGTAGCGGAGGAGCTGCAAGGAGAGGCAGTGCCCTGATGTGAGCTAGATTGGAACAGCCCCTTGGAGCCACTCATTGCAGCACTTCTGAGTACTGTGAGTGGAAATCTTTAGGCTGAGAAGAGTGTCCCCAAGCACTGAGGAGCTGGGCATCGTGCCTGGCAGAAACTGATGCTTTCACCTGCAGGATGGCTTTCCTGTCACCAGTGCCCCGGTGCTGCTGTGCTGGGAGGTCCCTGGCACATCTGAGGGATCCAGCTGGGGCCACTTGACTTTTTGCAGCCGTTTCCATGCTTCTCACGTGGAGTCATCCACCTTCCACCCTCCACCTACACACCACTAATGATGCCGCACTGAACACGCACCCCCACGCTGGTTTTCTCCTTACCCTGCAGAAAGTGCCTGCAGTCACCGAGTAGGGTAGAAGAGTTCTTTGATAGCAGACATTTAATTAGCCCATTTGGGCCAGGTGCATCATTTTCCATCGCTCTGTGTTTACCTGGGGCCTTTCCCACTTGAGTTCCTCCTCGGCATATACTGCCGAGTAAGAAATTTCTCCTGGCAGGGCTTGAACGACGTTATTGAGATAGGAGGGGAGAGCCTTTATTTGAACATCAGTCTTCAAAACGAGCCAGTCTGACGCTCAGCTCGGATTTACTTCCAACTTCAGAACGGGTCAGAGATGATGAGCTGGAAAGCGCCGGATGGGGCAGGAGAGAGAAGGAGGGCCAGTGAGAGGGGAAAGCAAGGGGAGGCACTGGGAAGCTGGAGGTTAACTGCACACAGTGGGGAGAGCAGGGACACTGGGCTGCGTGCACCGCTCGGCTCAACAGCAGGATGGATCCAGCCACAGTCCTTGGAAATGCCTCCATAACTCAGGAACTGTGGTGCTGGCAGAAGCGAGCGGGGTACCCGGTGCAAAATAAACCTCCTCAGAGCACTGCTCTTTGCAGTTTTTCCTGTCTGAAGAACTATTCAAAAGCCAGCATTTTCTCGAGCCAAACAGAGCAGGATTTGGGCTTGAAAGGTCAGTGCTGAACACAGTCACTGCGTTGTGTCGACAGATCCCTGGTTCAAATGTTTAGGGAGGTTTCTGCTGCCGTTCCCAAGAGGCAGAAGAGCCGGCTGTGGGGTTTTGTAAGAGATTTACGCACGTGAACACCTAAACAAGGAGAAGCAGTCTGTGCGCGGAGGCTTCACTGCTGCACCTTGAACGCCTCAACAAAACCCATCCCAGAAGGAATTCCCACTGCTTGGCTCTGCGCTGGGGATTTAACCGCTGCACCCTGAGCAGAGCTCGCCCGGGTGAGCGGTGCGTGTGGCTGTTGTCCCTGTTCGGCCGAGCGCACCGCTGCCAGCTGGGAGGCAGTTGTCTTTGATGAACGGCCCCGCTTCAGCGGTGGCGGATGGAGAAGTCAGCGCTTGGCCTGGCCGCGCCGTGACCTAGTTTCCTGTTTTCCACCGCTGAAAGGAGCCCCAGTGTCTGAGCAAAGATGAAGGAAGGGTGACGGCTGCTCGCTCAGCCAGCGCATGGTGCCTGCAGCGCGCTGAGCGCAGGCACTCACAGCACAGCCCTGCCCCAGAGGGCTGCCTGGGGCGGGCGGGGGGGGATGTTTCCATGGCCAGGCAGACGCCCCCCAGCTCAGCTGCCTGTGCCAAAGGCAGCGGTGGCCTTAGGGACAAATATCCCCCGGTGGAAGCGGGTTCTCTGCCTCTCCTTGCCGCTGATCTCCAGGCAGAAGCGCTTTTGGTCACGCTCTCAGTGTGGAAGTCAGCCCTGGGCAGCAGGGCTGGAGGGGAGCACGGGCACAGCACAGACAGGAGATGGGGGGGGGGGGGAAGCACAAGGGTCTTTGCCTGCTTTTGGGGTAAACCCAGATCCCTCCAGCAGAACAAAGTGGGTTTTACTGCATCGGGAACACACGGCAGTGACGGCAGGTGCTGGTGGTGCCAAGTTCCACCCTGCTCACAGAGCTTCCCTCCCACCCCCCCCTTCCCTCAAACAAGGGGAAAGAAGTGGGGTTTGTTTGTTGGCTAAGGTCAGCGTCTGGGATTCGTCCTCACAGGATGTTTTTGTGTAACGTGCTCTGACTCATGAAAGTCAAATGACTTGGACTGCGGTGCTGCCAGGGCCCAGCAGCCCCAGCACAAGCATCCTGGCCGCCGGCACCTCCAGCGCTGGCCCGTGCTGAGCACCGGCTTCCCAGCTCCTCCTCCTGCCGCTGCAGCCACAGGGCCCCCGCCCGGCTGCCCCACCACCGGCTGCCCCACGGTGCTGGGGTCCCGCTGCCATCTCAGCGCGCACACGTCCAGATGTGGATGTCACATCTGCATCAAGGGGGGGTTAGCTCAGGGCTCCCATGCGTTACACATCCTGCCTGGTGCAGCTGGGACGCGCTGGGATGTGTCGCGGTGCACCGGAGGCATGAATCGGAGGGGTCAGCAGCGAGCAGCTCTTTGCTCCTTTGTGCTCTCCAAGGAGGTTGGCTCCGCTGCTCCGTTGTATCTGGACCTTGCTTCGTTTGGACCGCCAGGCTAAGGACAACACCACTGCAGCTTCTGTGCTGCTGACCCCGATTTGACAAAATCACCCCCAAACTTGTTTGTTGTTGCTTTTTTTTTTCACCTCAGAGAGAGAAATTTATTGTGAGACTTGCACGGGATGTGTGTGGGGATCCTTCACTGCCGTAAGAGCAAGCCTAGAGAGAAGCCTGCTTTTCTTTAATCCTGGGCATGGTGACCATTGAAGAAGCGACCATCAGAGCGGTGAAGTAACACCTCCTTCTGCTCCATCGCCGGACAAACGGGTGGCATTAGGCTGCTCTGCAGCAATGGGGGCGGAGGCAGCCCCGAGCCCATCAGGCTCGGTCTGTCCGTGCCCGGGTGCCTCGCTTCCACTCAGTACATGGCGTTATCCACCGATCCCTGCGGGCGTGAAGCGGCTCCTCCCGGCCTCGGCTGCGGCCAGGCCCAGTCGCCATGGTAACCCCGCCCCGTCGCCATGGTAACCCCGCCCCGTCGCCATGGTAACCCCGCCCCGCCGCCCTCTCGGCCCCCGTAGTCGCGCTCGCAGCGCCCCGGTCACGTGACCGGAAGCGCCGTCTCCCCCGGGCTAACGGAAGAGATGGAGCCGGCGAAGATGGCGTCCCCCAAGAGCGCGCCCAAAGACGCGCAGGTACCGCGGGCGCGCCGGGACCGGGTCGGGTCGGGTCGGGTCGGGTCAGTGCCGGGCTGAGCGGTGCCTCCCCGCCCCGCAGGTGATGGCGCAGATCCTGAAGGACATGGGCATCACGGAGTACGAGCCGCGCGTCATCAACCAGATGCTGGAGTTCGCCTACAGTAAGGGACGGCGGCGGCCTCGGGGCCTGGTCCTGGGAGGGGAAGTGCTTGGGGTCGGCGGAGGAGGGGGGTGCTGCCCTCAGCCGTGTTTGCTGGGGGGGTCCTTGCCGGAGGAATCACAGGGGCACGGAAGGTTGGAATGGGCCCCAGGGGCATCCGGTCCGAGCTTTGCGGGCAAAGCCTGAATACCAGAACCTTTGTATGCCCTAACCTGAATGTCCGTGCGCCTTGTCCGGCCAAATCTTAACACTTCCCTGGGGAGTTTATTCCCTCTAGGAGGAGGCTGTGGGAAGCCTTGGAGGATTCCAGGTTCAGTGGTGGTGTCAGGAAGTGGTTTTGGTGACAGCGGAGTGGGATGGGGACGGGGCAGTTTTCTTTCCTTTGAGCCTACCGTAAGGAGAGGGGCTGTTTTCCGAAGGGTATGTTACAACCATACTGGAAGATGCAAAAATCTATTCGAGCCACGCAAAGAAATCCAGCGTTGACGCGGACGACGTGAGGTTGGCGATCCAGTGCCGAACAGACCAGTCCTTCACATCTCCACCTCCGCGAGACGTAAGTAGAGCTGCATCGATGACAACTGAACCCGGTCAAGGGCTCCAGGGGGGAATGTGACCATGTCTCTGCAGTTCCTGTTAGATATTGCAAGGCAGAAAAACCAGACGCCGCTGCCACTGATAAAGCCTTATTCTGGACCCAGGCTCCCACCTGACAGATACTGCTTGACTGCTCCCAACTACCGGCTGAAGTCCTTACAGAAGAAGGTGAGGTCTGTGCGTGGGGAAGGATGCACACTGTCAGGAACGCTGTTGGAGTTAAAGCTTTCGGCATTGCTGAGGGATAGGGGTGGGCAAGCTCCAGCCTGTGCATGTCAGAAGTGTGTTTCACTTGGGAGCAGTGGTCTTTGGCTCTATGAATTTGCAGGTGTTGTGACTGCTGGTTAATTTCAAAGGCAAAGTGGGTTATCAAATGCACCTGTGAATTTTTTAGCATTAGAGCAAAATTGTCAAGTTGCATATCAGATCGTAAAAGGGAAATGTAAAGCTTTAGGATAGATATTAAAGGGTATTTTGTACTTACACCTCAGCTGTTTTTGTTTTAGAGGGAAAAGATTTACATGGCTGGCTGCAAAACCCTGAAGGTCTTGGTGTGTAGGATTTCAGATTTATTTCCCCCTGTTTAAAGAAGGAGTTTTAAAAGTGGACCTTAAGGCTCCAGGTGTTGACTTGGGACATGCCTGGGTGTAGAATGGAGTAATAATTGTTCTAACTGCTTTTTTCTGGCAGAAACAAACCTGACTGAGCTGTGTGCTGATCCTGTGGTGTCACATCACACCCAGGAGCTCTCCTGCTCACGCCAGTGACGTTTGCACCATGCAGGGCTTGAGAACCTCTTGCATTGACCTACAGCTTGTGTGTTGTTGCTGTGAAATGGGCACTCGGGGGTTTTGTAGGAAGATTCATTTCTTCTTTCCACCTTGAGAGCTGTTGATTTCTAATTGGATGCTGAACTGAATGTTCTCTCTCAACAGGTCTCTTCCTCTGCAGGCAGAATAACAGTCCCTCGCCTGAGTGTTGGTGCTGTGAGCAGCAGGCCCAGCACTCCTACTTTAGGTAAGAAACACCTCAGCTGGGGTTTGCCGGGTTGATTTCATGAAGGCAAAAAGTCGTCAGAAGTAACTTAAATGAAGTCTCAACCCCTGAGGGAATGTTGGGGCCACCTGAGCTTTGTATTGCTCGAGAGCACCAGGAAAGCACACTTAATTGCAAAAAGATTACCATCCTCTTTGGTGTGTGCTTGCATTACTGACATTTGGCACTTTCATTCCTGTACTTGTGGTAACTTTGATATGGGAAGAGATTATTCAAGAAGCTTACTGAAGTTTGAGGGTTTTTCTCCTCATTGTAAGCACAACACAAATAGCACTCAATAAACTCCATTTTTAAAAGGCTCACAAAACTTACGGCTGAGCACATGCACTTACGTATTGGTGTGTGTTTGTAGCCTAAAATTTCCTAAGACTTGAGTAAATGCACAGATCTGCCTGAAAACCTAACTCCTGTTGAGCCAGTATTGGCATGTTCCGCTGCTTTGGAAGTAACAGCTTCTGCTTCGAAGGCAAATTCACATGTGCAAGTATAGGTCTTTTCTCTTTAAAAGGATCTCTTGACCACGTTGTTTGAACTGCAGGTACACCTTCAGCACAAGCAGTGTCTGTCTCAACCAAAGTGGGCACTCCGGTGTCACTGACGGGGCAGAGGTTCACCGTGCAGATCCCCTCTTCCCAGGCTGCAGTCAAGTCAGGTAAGGCACAAGCAGAGACCAGCAGTGCTTTTTGCTCTTCTTTTTGAGCATTCTTCTTTTTGAGCATTCTTCTTGCTAGCATTTTCCCATCTTCTCTACTTTTGCAGCCCCTAGTGTTGTAGTAACGCGCTGCTTCGTCAGCTTGCAAGTTCTGTTTCAGTGTGGGGAAATCCACTGTCACCTTTTTCAAGCTGCTAATTGAATGGCTTCGTTTCTGTTTTCACAGCCACCCCAACTACTCCGACAGTTCAGAATGTTCTCATTAATCCTTCATTAATTGGACCAAAGAACATTCTTATTACTACAAATATGGTGTCATCACAGAATGCATCTAATGAATCGAACCCCTTGAAAAGGAAGCATGAAGATGATGATGACTACGATAACCTATGAGGAGACTGCCCGGTCCCCGTTCCTGTCGTCGATTCACATTGAGTCTAATGAGGTTTTTTGCCAAGAGTTCTTTGTCAGCAGTGTGAGAGTGTGTAAATACTCAGTGTGCACTGGGTGTAGAGTGAGAGAGATCTTTGCCTGTGGAAAGAAAGACGGGAAAGCGACTTACTGTTTCCTGTGGGCCATGGGGTCTCATGGAGCTCAGCAGCGGTGGTGAGCACCGGTCCCTGTCACACAGAACAGTCTTTGTGCCTCTTCTGTCACCTTATTTCTAAAGGACGTCCATGTCCACGTCCCTGAACCCAGGGAGCCCCGTGCTGTAGTACTGTCCTGTGCCAAGTAAAATTAGTTTTTAGAAAATTCTGGCTGGTGTGACATGGATATTCCTTCTAAATAACATCAAAACCAGCCCGGGGAGAGGTGGGACAGAGCTGGAACAGCGTATCAGTCTATGTTGGTTTTTTTTCCCTGAATACAGTTGCTGCTTCTAGGTCGTTTTAGGCACATGCACTGTTCTCCACGCGCAGTTCAGTGAGTGCAAAGATTATCTCTTAACAGTAGAAATGCAGACAAAAGGAAGAGGAGGGGGTGTTGGGAGACAGTTCCTTAGGCTGAGACCCTGGTCCTTGTTAATCCACGGTTTCTGTTCAGCTCAACATCTCCACCAATACCCACAGCTTTAAGAGGAAAGGAAAACACATTTGATCTGTTCTTGGTTTATTTCCAAAGAGCGAGCTTTGTTAAGCTGATGCTTGTGTGCTTGTGCGTGTATGTGTGTGTGTGAACTGTGGCGTGGGGGGACCTGGGGGCCTGAGCTTGGCTCTGAAGGGCTGACACGAAGCTGTGCTGCAAGGCTGAATGATGGGGTTTTATATATTAAACAATGAATAAAACGGTGTGTGTGTTTAGTGCTGTCTCTTGGCAAAGGCTTTAGCTGGTGCTGCCTTCCCTGATGCCTCTTTTCTTGTGCTGAGGCCATGCCTTTGGCTGGGAGAGCTCTTGTCCAGGTTCTGGCTCAGCCACTGCTTCCTGCAAGGTAAGCAGTGCTTGAAGGTAGCAAGCGACTGAAGACGCTGGCTTTTGAAGTGATGCACACACAAGTGCTCCCTCTTCCTGACACTGTTTTTGGGTGGCTGCTGTCACTTGATGTGCCGCAGGCTGGCGCCAGCTGCAAGTGTGCTGCGTCTGTGCTCGCTTTGTTAATTCCAGCAGGTTTTGTCTGAAGAAAGGATGAATGAAAGTCACTTTTCACAAGGGGAGAGGAGGAGAGGAGCACGCAGGCAGTGTCTGAGGGGAAGGGCAGTGGCGGGGCCGAAGCAAAAAGGAGTTTTGGCAGCACAGGAGGAAGGAAATGTGGGTGCTGGGGCAGGGGATGCGGGCACACAGGCATGCTCAGAGGCGCACTGTCACAGACATGCACACACACACACACCCATGGTATAATTAGTACATGCTCTAAGGCTCTTGCTGGCAGCTATTCATTCATACAGACAGTGTAGAGAGACTTGTGGGTACAGAGAGACACTTGACAGTAGTTTCTGGCACAGACACAAACACAGCCCCACCTTGATGTACACTACAGATTTATGGATACACTCATATTATATATACTTACATTCATGCACTTACCATTTTCTATATTCTATGTATTTATACAGTCCCAGACACCCTTTTTATACATCTATATAACATATACAGCAGATGACATGGCATATAATAGGTAATATGTATTTTTTTATAACTATACACATCCACACTCTCACAGGCACTATTCTTACATAGGTACTAGCAAATAGATATACGTATAAATAAAACTATGTAATAACCTCTCTCACACCCCCCCCGCTTTTGAAAATAATGTTTAGACATACAGATGTATATTATGTTTATTTTACACACCTATATACACAGGGATTTATACTCTATATGCACATACAGTCTCAGGCACTCTTCCGTTTTTATATGTAAGTATAATCATAGAATGGTTTAGGTTGGAAAGGAGCTTCAGATCATCCAGTTCCAACCCCCTGCCATGGGCAGGGACACCTCACACTAACCCATGGCACCCAAGGCTCTGCCCAGCCTGGCCTTGAACACCGCCAGGGATGGAGCATTCACAGCTTCCCTGGGCAGCCCATTCCAGTGCCTCACCACCCTCACAGGAAATAACATACATAATCTATAACAAACATGTAGCATTTTTTTATATATGCCATTTTTTTATACATTATGTGTCATGGCAATCTATTGTTCATCTTTATATAATACATAATCAGGTTATTACATACTGTTGTATATTACATACACATATATTAGACTATTATTTTAATTATATATTACATACGCATACACACACCCTTGCACAGTCTCTTTCTATGCAGAGGTGTATGTACCCTGTACAGCTGCAGACACCCTTTTTTTAATACCTACACTATAATATGTAAAGTGCCTGGGTAAAATGTGTATGTAGTGCATCACGCACACACGTGTGTGTCCACATGGTAATACTGTAATATATATGGCTACAATAAATAGTCTTATCATCATTACCACCTCTTTAAATGCTTATGATCCACCACACACACATTCACTCTTGCTCTCACGTGGCCACCTACTCTTTTTATACTTTTAGACACACACACACACACACACACATATATATATGTATATATAGGGGGTCTATAGGGATGCTGGAGAGGGACTCTTCATTAGGGACTGTAGTGACAGGACAAGGGGTAACGGGTTCAAACTTAAACAGGGGAAGTTTAGGTTGGATATAAGGAGGAAATTCTTTCCTGTAAGGGTGGTGAGGCACTGGAATGGGTTGACCAGGGAGGTTGTGAATGCTCCATCCCTGGTGGTGGTCAAGGCCAGGTTGGACAGAGCCTTGGGTGATATGGTTTAGTGTGAGGTGTCCCTGCCCATGGCAGGGGGGTTGGAACTGGATGATCTTAAGGTCCTTTCCAACCCTAATGATTCTATGATTCTATATATGCCTAATGACTAGACAATCCTTAGGATCTTTTTTCAGGCTGAGTCTGTGATTCTGTTTCAACTTCCCCTGTACACACAGGGTGACAGCCTTGTATAGGTCTCAACTATACAACTTCTTATATTATAGATCATGTATATATAGAATATAGACACATCCTCTGCAACAAATGCTCACAATCACCTATTCTTTTATATATGTAATAGTCTAACATATCTATAAATGTATATTCTCACACTAATACATGCATAAATCAATTTACATCCTCACACACAAACACTCGGTCACACAGTGACACAGTCTTACATCTGCTCTACAAAGCCCCACATGGGTACATGCACACACACATATATATTGTTATATATTATATTTACCATATAACTGGAGAGGGATGTTTTCTGAGCCCTCCAGGGTGCCCCCTTGCTTCCCCCAGGGCAGGTTGTCATCAGCTGTTAGGCTCTGGGCACAAAACGGAGTTGCTTGTCTCAATTTAAGCCTTTGAACATGTCCGGTGGCACCAGGAGTTGGCATGACGTGACTTGTGCTCCGCACAGCTCCCTGCTTGCTCTGGCTGGCTGAAGCTTGGCATGGCTTGGCACAGCTCAGCACAGCTTGGCTTGACACAGCTTGGCTGGTCAGGCCCATCCCAGGCCTTGCTGCTTTGTGTGGGCTGGGGGGAACCATCTACACCAGCTCCCTGCCCCGCTGAGGAAGGTGCCTTTTTGTGCCACCAGAGCATGGTCAAACCAACACCCAGACAGGAGCACACAGGGGCTGGGACTGAGGTTCAGGTTCACACAACTCATCCAACAGCATTGCCCTCCAGCCAGACAGCAGCGTTTGGGAAAGGTGAGACCTGCCACCGAGGCCACTGCCCAGGCACCTCCTCAAGAACATGGATGTTTCACAAAGCCCTTTATGAGAAGGACAAGTTTGCTTAAACCACAGGCATCTGCACCTTGTATGTCACCACACAAGGATTTGTTGCCTTTATGCTGTGTCTTTGTTCTTCAAATACCCCACAGTTCCTTACTCACCATTCCTAAGCCCTCTCATAAGGGAGGGGCAGGCATGTGGGATGGATGGATGGATGGATGGCCTTTCATTAGGTCAAGTTCTCCCAGGCAAGCACAGAGCTCCAAGCATGGATTTATCAGTGAGCACATTGCTGAGTACAGCACAAACCCTGCTCCTGCTCCAGCTGCTCCCACCACTCCTCTTAGAAGGAATGAGCTTGTAAGAAAGGGAAAGTGACATTGCTCTTTCTAAGGTCTTTCTGATACTAAGAGAAACCATCCAGATAGATACCCTTTGATGTTTATTAAAGGCCTGTCTGAGCAGCTCCTGTGCAGCAAAGCCTGCCTGGCTTGCACAGAGCCAGAAGCCACCTACCAAATAGTATTGCACGTAGCTCACAATAAACAGAGAGGGCTCTTCCAGCTCAGGGATGGCATCTGTGTGCGAGTCAAAAGCACAGGTCTGGGTTATCACTGCTACCACTGGCGGCGAAAAAACCCACAAAACAATTACATTTGTCACTGCCTCATGCTGTGACTCAAAAATCAGGACAGCAGCAAGGAGGGGGAAGGACACCCTGCGGGGACTGCCCGCTTTGAGTAGGAAAAAGACCTGAAGTGAGGCTTCAGGGGCAACAACACAGCAAGTGGAAGAGAGAGCCCTGCAATTAACCCTGGCCTGGGTGGGTCACTACATACAGTCATGTAAAATCACTTATTGTATGCAGTAATGTAAAATTAGAAGTCAGGGGGTTTTAGTAGTTACTTTATTAGAGCTACCAAGTTAAAATCACTACAATATTCACAGGCAGCTAGAGCAAGGCTCCAACTTCACTGAACAATGACAGGCCAGTGCCCCAGAGGTAGAGAAACACCGACTGTTCCCACCCTGCTCTCTAGGTTAAGACTACAGACAGCACTCCAGCAGCCTGGGACAGCCCTTCGTACGGGATTAGAGGACAGGACCCAGGTTTCCAGTGCAAAGGCAAAGTTCTTTCAAGATTACGGATTAAACTGTACCCAACACGTTCACAGCTCAGGATGGAATGAGGGACCCGGACTGAATCAACTCCATTCACTGCAGAAATTCCAGAGCCACACATACAAATATTCACAGAGAACTGGACAGGACACAATCTAACAAAACTCCACTTTTTTTAAAGTCATCAGTGACATGGCCTGAAGGAACACAGCCCAGGCCAGTCATGCACCTGTGGGCTCATCAGTTGCGCTCTTCCTTGATAGGGGTGCAACCTGAGAAGAAGCTGGTATTGCTACTCAGCATTCTCTTCTTTCTCTTCACAAGCAGGATCTGGTTCTCTTGGGACTCCTCATCACTCATGAGCATGGAAGCAGG